AGTGAGGATACTAGAGTGGAGAGCAATGGATTCATTGATATCTTACTTGAGTACTCGTGAGGTCTGCCGAGGGCGACACTGGTGAGTGAGGATACTAGAGTGGAGAGTAATGGATTCATTGATATCTTACTTGAGCACTCGTGAGGTCTGCTGAGGGCGACAGTGGTGAGTGAGGATACTAGAGTGGAGAGGAATGGATTCATTGATATCTTACTTGAGTATTCGTTAGGTCTGCTGAGGGCGACAGTGGTGAGTGAGGATACTAGAGCGGAGAGGAATGGATTCATTGATATCTTACTTGAGTACTCGTGAGGTCTCCTGAGGGCGACAGTGGTGAGTTAGGATACTAGAGCGGAGAGGAATTGATTCATTGATATCTTTATTGAGTACTCGTGAGGTCTGCTGAGGGCGACAGTGGTGAGTGAGGATACTAGAGCGGAGAGGAATGGATTCATAGATATCTTACTTGAGTACTCGTGAGGTCTGCTGAGGGCGACAGTGGTGAGTGAGGATACTAGAGCGGAGAGGAATGGATTCATTGATATCTTACTTGAGTACTCGTGAGGTCTGCTGAGGGCGACAGTGGTGAGTGAGGATACTAGAGCGGAGAGGAATGGATTCATTGATATCTCACTTGAGTACTCGTGAGGTCTGCTGAGGGCGACAGTGGTGAGTGAGGATACAAGAGCGGAGAGGAATGGATTCATTGATATCTTACTTGAGTACTCGTGAGGTCTGCTGAGGGCGACAGTGGTGAGTGAGGATACTAGAGTGGAGAGGAATGGATTCATTGATATCTTACTTGAGTACTCGTGAGGTCTGCTGAGGGCGACAGTGGTGAGTGAGGATACTAGAGTGGAGAGGAATGGATTCATTGATATCTTACTTGAGTACTCGTGAGGTCTGCTGAGGGCGACAGTGGTGAGTTAGGATACTAGAGCGGAGAGGAATGGATTCATTGATATCTTACTTGAGTACACTGAGGTCTGCTGAGGGCGACAGTGGTGAGTGAGGATACTAGAGCGGAGAGGAATGGATTCATTGATATCTTACTTGAGTACTCGTGAGGTCTGCTGAGGGCGACAGTGGTGAGTGAGGATACTAGAGCGGAGAGGAATGGATTCATTGATATCGTACTTGAGTACTCGTGAGGTCTGCTGAGGGCGACAGTGGTGAGTGAGGATACTAGAGCGGAGAGAAATGGATTCATTGATATCTTACTTGAGTACTCGTGAGGTCTCCTGAGGGCGACAGTGGTGAGTTAGGATACTAGAGCGGAGAGGAATGGATTCATTGATATCTTACTTGAGTACTCGTGAGGTCTGCTGAGGGCGACAGTGGTGAGTGAGGATACTAGAGCGGAGAGGAATGGATTCATTGATATCTTACTTGAGTACTCGTGAGGTCTGCTGAGGGCGACAGTGGTGAGTGAGGATACTAGAGTGGAGAGGAATGGATTCATTGATATCTTACTTGAGTACTCGTGAGGTCTGCTGAGGGCGACAGTGGTGAGTGAGGATACTAGAGCGGAGAGGAATGGATTCATTGATATCTTACTTGAGTACTCGTGAGGTCTGCTGAGGGCGACAGTGGTGAGTGAGGATACTAGAGCGGAGAGGAATGGATTCATCGATATCTTACTTGAGTACTCGTGAGGTCTGCTGAGGGCGACAGTGGTGAGTGAGGATACTAGAGTGGAGAGGAATGGATTCATTGATATCTTACTTGAGTACTCGTGAGGTCTGCTGAGGGCGACAGTGGTGAGTGAGGATACTAGAGTGGAGAGGAATGGATTCATTGATATCTTACTTGAGTACTCGTGAGGTCTGCTGAGGGCGACAGTGGTGAGTGAGGATTTTAGGGTGGAGAGCAATGGATACATTGATATCTTACTTGAGTACTCGTGAGGTCTGCCGAGGGCGACACTGGTGAGTGAGGATACTAGAGTGGAGAGGAATGGATTCATTGATATCTTACTTGAGTACTCATGAGGTCTGCTGAGGACGACAGTGGTGAGTGAGGATACTAGAGTGGAGAGGAATGGATTCATTGATATCTTACTTGAGTACTCGTGAGGTCTGCCGAGGGCGACACTGGTGAGTGAGGATACTAGAGTGGAGAGGAATGGATTCATTGATATCTTACTTGAGTACTCGTGAGGTCTGCTGAGGGCGACAGTGGTGAGTGAGGATACTAGAGTGGAGAGGAATGGATTCATTGATATCTTACTTGAGTACTCGTGAGGTCTGCTGAGGGCGACAGTGGTGAGTGAGGAAACTAGAGCGGAGAGGAATGGATTCATTGATATCTTACTTGAGTACTCGTGAGGTCTGCTGAGGGCGACAGTGGTGAGTGAGGATACTAGAGCGGAGAGGAATGGATTCATCGATATCTTACTTGAGTACTCGTGAGGTCTGCTGAGGGCGACAGTGGTGAGTGAGGATGATAGAGTGGAGAGGAATGGATTCATTGATATCTTACTTGAGTACTCGTGAGGTCTGCTGAGGGCGACAGTGGTGAGTGAGGATACTAGAGTGGAGAGGAATGGATTCATTGATATCTTACTTGAGTACTCGTGAGGTCTGCTGAGGGCGACAGTGGTGAGTGAGGATACTAGGGTGGAGAGCAATGGATTCATTGATATCTTACTTGAGTACTCGTGAGGTCTGCCGAGGGCGACACTGGTGAGTGAGGATACTAGAGTGGAGAGGAATGGATTCATTGATATCTTACTTGAGTACTCGTGAGGTCTGCTGAGGGCGACAGTGGTGAGTGAGGATTTTAGGGTGGAGAGCAATGGATACATTGATATCTTACTTGAGTACTCGTGAGGTCTGCCGAGGGCGACACTGGTGAGTGAGGATACTAGAGTGGAGAGGAATGGATTCATTGATATCTTACTTGAGTACTCATGAGGTCTGCTGAGGACGACAGTGGTGAGTGAGGATACTAGAGTGGAGAGGAATGGATTCATTGATATCTTACTTGAGTACTCGTGAGGTCTGCCGAGGGCGACACTGGTGAGTGAGGATACTAGAGTGGAGAGGAATGGATTCATTGATATCTTACTTGAGTACTCGTGAGGTCTGCTGAGGGCGACAGTGGTGAGTGAGGATACTAGAGTGGAGAGGAATGGATTCATTGATATCTTACTTGAGTACTCGTGAGGTCTGCTGAGGGCGACAGTGGTGAGTGAGGAAACTAGAGCGGAGAGGAATGGATTCATTGATATCTTACTTGAGTACTCGTGAGGTCTGCTGAGGGCGACAGTGGTGAGTGAGGATACTAGAGCGGAGAGGAATGGATTCATCGATATCTTACTTGAGTACTCGTGAGGTCTGCTGAGGGCGACAGTGGTGAGTGAGGATGATAGAGTGGAGAGGAATGGATTCATTGATATCTTACTTGAGTACTCGTGAGGTCTGCTGAGGGCGACAGTGGTGAGTGAGGATACTAGAGTGGAGAGGAATGGATTCATTGATATCTTACTTGAGTACTCGTGAGGTCTGTTGAGGGCGACAGTGGTGAGTGAGGATACTAGGGTGGAGAGCAATGGATTCATTGATATCTTACTTGAGTACTCGTGAGGTCTGCCGAGGGCGACACTGGTGAGTGAGGATACTAGAGTGGAGAGGAATGGATTCATTGATATCTTACTTGAGTACTCATGAGGTCTGCTGAGGGCGACAGTGGTGAGTGAGGATACTAGAGTGGAGAGGAATGGATTCATTGATATCTTACTTGAGTACTCGTGAGGTCTGCCGAGGGCGACACTGGTGAGTGAGGATACTAGAGTGGAGAGGAATGGATTCATTGATATCTTACTTGAGTACTCGTGAGGTCTGCTGAGGGCGACAGTGGTGAGTGAGGATACTAGAGTGGAGAGGAATGGATTCATTGATATCTTAATTGAGTACTCGTGAGGTCTGCTGAGGGCGACAGTGGTGAGTGAGGATACTAGAGCGGAGAGGAATGGATTCATTGATATCTTACTTGAGTACTCGTGAGGTCTGCTGAGTGCGACAGTGGTGAGTGAGGATACTAGAGCGGAGAGGAATGGATTCATTGATATCTTACTTGAGTACTCGTGAGGTCTGCTGAGGGCGACAGTGGTGAGTGAGGATACTAGAGTGGAGAGGAATGGATTCATTGATATCTTACTTGAGTACTCGTGAGGTCTGCTGAGGGCGACAGTGGTGAGTGAGGATACTAGAGCGGAGAGGAATGGATTCATTGATATCTTCTTGAGTACTCGTGAGGTCTGCTGAGTGCGACAGTGGTGAGTGAGGATACTAGAGCGGAGAGGAATGGATTCATTGATATCTTACTTGAGTACTCGTGAGGTCTGCTGAGGGCGACAGTGCTGAGTGAGGATACTAGAGTGGAGAGGAATGGATTCATTGATATCTTACTTGAGTACTCGTGAGGTCTGCTGAGGGCGACAGTGGTGAGTGAGGATACTAGAGCGGAGAGTAATGGATTCATTGATATCTTACTTGAGTACTCGTGAGGTCTGCTGATGGCGACAGTGGTGAGTGAGGATACTAGAGTGGAGAGGAATGGATTCATTGATATCTTACTTGAGTACTCGTGAGGTCTGCTGAGGGCGACAGTGGTGAGTGAGGATACTAGAGTGGAGAGGAATGGATTCATTGATATCTTACTTGAGTACTCGTGAGGTCTGCTGAGGGCGACAGTGGTGAGTGAGGATACGAGAGCGGAGAGGAATGGATTCATTGATATCTTACTTGAGTACTCGTGAGGTCTGCTGAGGGCGACAGTGGTGAGTGATGATACACGAGTGGAGAGGAATGGATTCATTGATATCTTACTTGAGTACTCGTGAGGTCTACTGAGGGCGACAGTGGTGAGTGAGGATACTAGAGCGGAGAGGAATGGATTCATTGATATCTTACTTGAGTACTCGTGAGGTCTGCTGAGGGCGACAGTGGTGAGTGAGGATACTAGAGCGGAGAGGAATGGATTCATTGATATCTTACTTGAGTACTCGTGAGGTCTGCTGAGGGCGACAGTGGTGACTGAGGATACTAGAGTGGAGAGGACATCCACGACAGAGATGGTCTCGTTCACAATCACAATGCACATCAGAGTCACGAACGCCACACAGATCCCGACTGCAGTCCACAGCTTCATGCCTCTAGTATTCCTCGAAGGTGATTATGTGAAGTCCTCTCTACTGCTGAAACAAAATACAATCCATTTCGAACTTCTTAATTTTATCATGATACCCATTATGAGTCTCAATGGACCCGACTGAAATCCCCGACCTGGGTTCGGGCATGTTCTTATCTAGCTTGGTCAATGTATATTAGAAGTTTGAAGTAAAATTGAATATTTAAAATATATTTATAAATTAGCATATATTGACGATGATAAAATGTCTTCGCTTAGATTTCGTGTATTTAATTGTTTGATGAGAATTTTTGTTGTTTGCAGGCCCACTGGGGTAGGCTACAGGTACGGATTTAGGGGAGGGGGACGCTTTTTCCCTTGGGGATTCAACTCCCTCCCGACCCAATATGTGCAAATTTGAGGGGGGAGCGCACGCGGAACAAGCGCAATTTTTTTTGGTCAAAATTTTTCAAAAAGTGCCTAAAAATGTGCCTAAAAGTGCCTAAAAATTTTTCAAAAAGTGCCTTTAAAAGGTCGAGAAAATCCTAGATCCGCCCCCCTGGTATGCGATTTGGCAAATTTTAAAAACATGCACGGCTAATGCAAGGTAACAATGAGTCATTTCCAACATTATGAGCTCCGAAATTTTTTATGGCTGCTTGATATATCAAATAGATCCAAGCTGATTTTTTTTGCACGTGCCACACAAATAGTATCAAAAAATCTTTAAAAAAATTGTCGCAAGCAATGTTTTTTTTTGGTGATGATCGAATCGCGAGGTCAAAATGATGGTGAAACTGTCCAAACACACACTCTTAAGCAACAGTGTTGGACTTGACTTGAGCACCGTTGATCTACAAGTTGCTTTTCGGACGGTTAAGTTTGGGGAACCCAAAAAAGGTTTCATAAAAATTTACCTGTGAAAATCGAGAATAAAAAAGCACAGGAAAGTCTTTACAAAGTGTCCCTCAATAAGAAATTAAAAATGTTTTTCACAAATTGGCCTCAGTTTGTGATTCTGATGCGTTGAAAATTTCAAAAACGGTTTGAAAAGCCATCAATGTTTAATAAGCAACCACGCAATAGGTCTTCGACTACAAAACGCTATGAAAAAACACCTGCTCTCAATGAATGTTTTATTTGACCGAAGGTAGAATTTGGGCTGCTTGAAGAGTTCTAGTTCTCAATAATTGAAAGAGTTCGTTGAGAAATTGGCGCTCAATTGATGCAAAAGCGTCAAAACGAGGAAACTCTATTCTTCTAAACATCTGCAAGCCGCTTCAATGTTTACACGCAGCTAAGATTTTTTTCAGGCTACCGAACTTTTCCTTGTCGACTTTTCGCCAGAAATACAACCTAAAAAGACAAAAAAGTTAGTGTTCGTAAGCGCACGACCTAGCCTGAGGCTGTGGTTTTATCAAAATTGCGACCGAATCTAGTGTCGCCAGAAAAAATTGGGTTTTTCCAGACCGAAATTAGTCACTGAAATTAAAAGACTGTTGTTCCACGACCGGCGCAAACCAGGAAAAATTATATTAATATGCAACCGGAGCGACCACATAAAAGTTAGCCACAATTGACGCATTTTTCGAGACTGCTGTGTTTTTTCTGTGCCATAGTTTGGTAAAGGCATGTTAATAGCTTTTTTCGTCAACTTAACGTTTTTGCTATACAGTTAGGCAACCTTTATTTTAAGTCAGCAAAATTTTGCCTTTTCGATTGTGCCTTTTTCCTCATTTTCGAAAGTTTGAAACTTTTCCGTGTGATATCAGGCCATCAAAAACTAGTAATTGGATCGTAAAAATATCGATTCTCGGACCTTTGTTTATTATCGAAGCACTCCAGGTCTGCAAATTTTGTCTAGACTGTCGCACCACCTAGTTTCAGACTACACCGGGACACATTTACAGGTGCTTGAGACTAGTTTGTAGGTGATCGTGACTAAAGTTGAGACAATCGTGACCAAAGTTTGAATGTTTTTAAATCGTCCACACAAGGAATTTTTAGTCGCAGAATGAACATCGGCGCGACTTTGAAAGTCTGAAAATGAAATGACCCGAGGTTGACTGGAATCTTGAGCCGAGGTTGGCTGAATGATGTCAATAAACAACTGTTTGATGATTATTGGGTATATGCTCAGAAATTGTTCCAACTTACGGAATGAAATGTTTCAAGTTAGCTACTATCTGAATTATCTATATTTTTTGAAGAAAACAAGCCAAAATAGCCATTTGAAAAAAGAATGAGCCTAACTTAAGTCACACAACAAGTTTTCTTGTTTTTCCTTTATCTAGCAAATTTTTTGAGTTTATGTTACCAATCAAAAACTCAATTTATTGAAAAATTATTAAGAACAAACAATGAAATACAAGAACCAAACAAAATTGATAATTACTTTTTGACAATCGAGTTCAAATTGTCGTGAAACTCTCAATGAAAATCAATCCAAAAATTTTTCATGTACAGTAATAACTGAAATAGTAGAGCTCTTACAGCGAATCGGTTGTGTTGAAATTACAACTAAAGTACATATTATAATCGAAAGAGTGGAAACGTAATTACTAATTTTTTTTTTATAAAGTACAAGATATTTCTAAAACATTGACTATATGAATTGTTTTGCCTAGCTACCTTTTTTTAAGTTTCCTAGTTTGTTGTCTTCGAATACGTTCTTGGTGTACCGTGTTCGTAACCAGACTATTGAAGGCTATAGAGATTCTTAAGTTTTTTTTTATGTTTTCCAACGACTTTAGAAAAAAATTTTAAAATTGACGAATAAAAGAAAAGAATGAGATGTTTTTGCTAGAAGTTCCAGAATAATAATTATTTAACTCTGAACTAAATCTTTTCGAACATATCAAAAATATAAGGGAACACAGAAGAATACACAGTTATCTGATTCAGAAGTTTCTTAGTAAAAATGGGTATTTTGATGTTAAATTTGCTTTGGATTAGAAAACGTTCGTTGAAATGATACAGTTTTCAATCTAAAATTCATATTTTGAGCAAAATTTTATTCAAATTGGGTTGAAAAACAATAAATTGAGAGTTGCTAGATCAAGCAGAATCCAATCATATATTAGTTTTGAGTGTGCAGGAAAATATTGTTCAAATTCATTTTATTTATTTGTGAATTTCGTTAAAATTGTTCTTGATTTTAGGTTATGAATTATAGTCTAAGAAAAATCGAAAGTCAAAACTGGCAAGTATACACATCGATAAGAATTTTATCGGGCTTTTGTTTCTATCGTTCAATGAATTAGGTGAAATTAAGGAAAACGTAAAGTTTTCAAGCAGATTTCCTTGAATTTTGTTTGGGAGACAAAAAAGATCGGCTATTTGATACATTTTTTCCAAAAAGTTATTTTTTAGTGCTAAATTAGTGCTAAGTGTATTAGAAAAGCTTATCAGAAAAGTGTATGTATCCACCAATTCAGTTAAAAAACAGATACAGGTTTTGAAATTTGACATAGAAATTTCTCCAAACCTGTTTCATATACGAACCTAGGATGATAATTGTGATAGAAAATTTGATATAATATGTGTTCATGGTAAAATAATAGAAAATACAATTTTTCTCAGAAATCACCCGTGACTTGATTTTTTCGAATTGTATATATTTTTATTTTTATTTTGTCTCTTTCAAACGAAATTTGATTAATCTTATAAAACTCCAAGTTAGAATCGAAACACGGAAATTTTCAACAGCATTTCAAAATTGAAATTAAAAATTATTTTTTTTGAGCTGATTTTGGTTTACAACATAAATATCTTCTAGAACAGAGAATTAGTAGCAAAGTAGATATTGAGCGTAAAAAATTAAAATTTGGACAGATGCTGAGTCTACCTTGATGTTTTGTACGTAACAGTTTTCAAATTTTGACCATTTTTTCGAGTATTCGGCAGCTTCAGCTGCGTTTCAGTTAGGTTTCAGAATAGATTCAGGTAAATAAAGCAGTGTTTTGAAGACTTAGGTTATCTAATTAAAAAATTAATATGGCAAATTATATCAAATCTTATTGTGTTTTGAACTTTTTTTGAAAAAATTTCAATCGTTTTGAGAAAAATCTAAGTTTTTGCCAAAAAGTTTTACCATTGACTTACCATGAAACAAAAAACTAATTGCAAGACCTTCATTTCACAATCTACACTTAATTAATCATTGATTTTACCTACCAATTAGTTAACGCGCGCCCGGAGTTTTACGAAAAAACTAGGGAAAAACCAAAAAAAATGTCGTTTTTCTTACCATTCTCTTACCATCACACTGAAACCCTATCATTTCTATTCCCTATCTTAATACAATGGAAAAAATTTTAATTATCATAATACAATAAGAAAACCTATTCTTTATCTTTATACATAGCCAGCGGTACCGGAAATTTTTTCCCTATCTTAAAACATGGGGAACCCCCCACTCTCCCTCACACATTTACTACTAAGATTTCACCCGAAACTGTTTTCACTCTGTTGACAATAGTTACAATAATTGAAAATAAGTGATTGTTGGCTTTTTCACTATTTCAATTATTCATTTTGATTCAACAATTATATTGCAAATCATTAATGAACACCTCTGCCCTAAGCCGACACCGCACGCAAACTCTAGTTGTTTTTTTTTTGAAAAATATAGTTCTCTTAAGTTCGAACACTTCAATTTACATGTAATAAATCTGAGTTGAAGTCCAATATGGCCTTCTCATTGAGTAATTTTGGATAGGGTACACTGTCTGTTAGTCACGCTACCTTTTTTTGGCCGGATAGATTCGTGCAACTTCTTAGTCTAATAACGATATTAATCTTACTCTTATATTTCCTATAATAGATAGATCTAGTATATACTGGTATTCTTGTGAAGTTAGAGGAGAGAAAGAGGCAACTGCTTTCCAAGCTAACTTATAACTTCTCTGGCTGAAATTATGAATAGTTTCAGCTTTACAAAATTTCATAAGTCTTAATACTGAATCTGGATTGTTTACTTTAAATACTTTACAGAGATAAATATCAAATTATATAATAGAAACTTGTTTGAACTGGTTCTACATTTCATTTTTCGTCTAAATGTCATATCGTTTTAATGTCTTGCAGTCCTATTTATCTAGCACCAGCAGCGGGCTAGTTAGGTTAAAAAATTTTCTTAACATAAATATGCAAATCCGAAGAACTAAATTTTTGCCGCAAAATTGATTTCAAAATATACAAAGAAAACGGTGCAAAAATACATCTTTGACAAAGGTTTTGTTGGAAGTGGCCGAACACATTCAAACTTTCGCCATTTCATAAATGCGCATGAGGGTCTCATCCCCCCCCCCCCCTAAGGGTACATCTTAGTTGTCATTTTCAATCACCCTCAATTTGAAGATTTTTTGCAGACTAAATTATTTTGCAAATGACCCCCAACTCGCCATCTACCCGAAAATCCTAGGTTTTTTGTTAGTGTTAGAAAATATGATATACGAAATGTACCAAACGCAAAAAAATACCTGATCTGTTAAAAGATAAGGTCTACTTGCAGCAACAAAAATTGCAACCCGGAAGTGATGCACAAAAGTAATCTCCTAGAACTCCTTGAACTTTGGAAAAACCTACAATATGAAACCCATCTTGAAGCTTTAAGGCACAATTTAAAATGAAAACCAAATACGGCAAATCTGACCAAACATTTGCTATTGCAATCTACAACAATTGAATTTGTTTTGTTAGCATGAAATGTGTTGTAGTCTTTCATGAGCAATCATTCTAAACAAAGTTTAATATTTTTGAATCGACATCTCATTTTTGCGTTCTGTATTGCATTGGGTGCTTGTATTACCAATAATTCATTTCAATTTTTGTATATTTCCTTGCTTTTAACAACTTTTGCTATGTTCAAAACAATGTTTGGCAATCGCCAAAATACCAACTCGGCGCAGCAAAGCGGCAGTAAAAAACTATCCGAAATATTCCAGGAGCGCGGATATTTGTTCATTTGTGAGTTCTGTGAACTCGAAGGTGCCAAAACTTTGTACACTTATCCCGAATTCACCCAGAGCAATTTGGGCGAAAATTCCGAAGAATCCTGCATCAAAAAACGACTGGCGAGAGAGTTTTTGTCGAGCCACCCTTGTATTCCAGCGAGTGAGGGGAATTTGTCTTTGAAAAATGAAGCCCAGTTTTATAAAGAAATGGAAATAGGCGGCAAACATGACCAGATAATGACGGATAACGGCAAACCACTGATGCTGTATTGCCTGGGCACACTTTTCAAGGTTCGAGACTAAGATAGTCATTTAAGGATATCTCAAGCTATAAAACATATGTGCTCAGATTACTTTCTGCCATTTTTGAAAAACTAGTGCAAAATTTGGAACACTAAATCAATATCTTTCCTAGAGCGATCAACCAAATAGAAAAAGTTGCGGGAAAAGTTTTCAATTTAGAGTTTTGCTCAATTTCATACCAGATAAGCAACAGCCTACATTGTATATCGAAATTCGTTCACATCTCGACACTTCGTGTCTCGATTTATTCACAAAATTTCTCGAAGTGTTAGCTGATGTTTATCTTCTACATACACTAGTCGACAAAATTAAACGCAAATCAGGTTTTCACTATTTAAACCACCAGATTTTAAAGACAATTTTCGACAACAATTACTGAAATTTTTATAAAATGGTTTGGATTGAACGACTGCAAGAGATGTAAGCTACTACCCTTCCTAAAAACCTTAAATTTGAAACACTTACTTGAATTTCCAGGTCTGAAAAAGCCAGTTTGCACCATTTTTATTCGGTTTTCTATGAGAGTGAACACTTTTTCGAATGAAGGAAGAAAAAAATGATAGCGTACCTTTCAATGCAAAAATGGCAAAACTCAGTGTGACAATTTTCCTCGTCTCTGTTGTTTTTTTAAATAATTTCAGACTTTTGAAAAAACTTCTTATAAATGATAAAAACTGGCACTTTCAGACCTGGAAAGTTGAAGAAATTGCTTCAAAACGAAAATTGAGACTCTCCGTGAGGGTAGTTCAGATCATTTACAGTCAGTCGGTCGATCTAAGAAATAAGTAACGAAAATTGAGACTCTCCGTGAGGGTAGTTCAGATCATTTACAGTCAGTCGGTCGATCTAAGAAATAAGTAACGAAAATTGAGACTCTCCGTGAGGGTAGTTCAGATCATTTACAGTCAGTCGGTCGATCTAAAAAATAAGTAAAATTTGAACAAAACAGTGTCCAAAATTAATGTTAAATTAAAAAACTTTCCAGAGAAAAAAGTGAATTTGTTTTAAATTTTGTCTACTAGTGTACTTGTACTCCCTTATTTTTGACTTCATGTTGACCTCTTTTTTCAATCAAAGTTATTAGTCCGTAATTTTCGATTGGACAAGCTGAATTTATTTTGGTTAATTCGAGACCAGAAGTTTTTGATCGACCAGTCTTTTCAATATTCAGTGTTGCACAAAGTGTTTCCTTACTTTTGTTTTGAACAACATTCAGTGAACATTTCTTACAAACAAAAATGTTGTCTTAATTAAGTTGCACATATAATCAACATTCGTTAATGCTGATAAATTAGGGGGATTTAAATACTAGTTCGGACGGAATTAAATACAAATTCATAGGGCGTAAGTTATTACAAAAAATATTTGTACGAGGGGCGGTTTTAGAGGGCTCTTGGACATTACTCCCCCAGGAATTCGACCTCTTGACCAGGGAACCTTGGGGACCATTACCCACTAAATTTAGGGAGGGAATGCGCGCCAACAAAGGCAAAATTTTGCTAAAATTGCTCCAAAAGTTCCCTAAAACGTCACTTTTAATTATTTTTTTTAAGTTAAAATGTCCCTTTTAAAGACGGAAAACGTCACTTTTAAAAACGAAAATCCTTGGGGGCCACTATCCAATAAATTTAAGGGGGTATGCGCGCCAACCATTTTGGTTTAAAAAAATTTTGGTTAAAAAAACTCCAAAAGTGCCTTAAAACATTAACTTTATTTTTTTTTGTTAAAATGTCTTTTTTGAAAACGGAAAACGCCACTTTTAAAAAATAAAATCCTTAATTTTTGAAATCGTAGTTTTCATTTCAGAGCTGTTGTAGGTTTCAACTGTTGAATTTGCTTCATTGTTATTCAAAATGGGCGGTACTTCACATATCACAATCATTTTGGGGTTGAATGTATTTCTTATCAGAACGATTAGTTCCTATTGCATCTTATTCAAATCATTGGTGTTCGGAAAATTTTTCTTACGGACGGAGTTCGTTCCATCTTGTATTACAATACGTTTCAATTTATGCTCAGGATAACTTAATAGCATCAAATGAATTGCTGAGCGAGTAAAGCGGGCGAGTAGGTCTAAGTAAATCATTTTTGATTGGTTATTTAAACATTATGCAAACAAGATTGGTTATTCAAACTTTATTCTGCAAAACAAAATACGAGTTTTTTTTTTCATTTTTTGCTTGCTCTTTTCTTTTCGAAGACAACCGTGGCCAATTATGACAAATTCACAGTTTGTCTACTCGTTCAATTAGTTGTCTCATCACAACCCACACGCAAAAAAAAATTTTCTTTTGAAAAAAAATATTTGGCTCTTTTCCAGTTTTCCCCCCTTTCAAATTCAATTTTGAAAAATCTATTTACTATTGTCATAATGCAATGAAACTTGGCGTGGTGAACAAATCAACTGTGAACAGATTTGTTCTTCATACTTTACAGCACAACATCACGCATTTAGCCGTAATAACACGTAAAACAAATATAAAACTCGGTATTTTGAAAAAGGGGAACTGGAAAAGAGCCAAATATTTGAATGGTCGGAACATTCTCTGCTAACTGCATCGAAACCGGCTATCCCTGTTGAAGTCTGTATTCTTTTTATAAATTTGTTATTTAAGAGTCTTAGAAAAAATTATTGTAGTGGAATGTGTAAATGATTGCTACTTTAATTTACGAAGCAAGCTTTGACTGTGGTTAGACTTAATGCAGCTCTTTCCAGTTTCTCACCCATCGTAGAATTACAATCAAAAACTGTTTTAAGAAGCTTTTGTGCCAAATTGCATTTTAAAATTTGCTCGATAACTCCAGACCAGATGTTTCCACACCACGTGGTCTTGCTCGGTAACAAACTGATTGAAAGCCAAAAACCTCTTTTAAAACAAACTCCCTTAAAATCAAAAATTGGTTTTAGCAGGGTCACTTTTTAGCATGTAGATTTCGACATTATCATAAAGATGTTTTGATTTTTTAAAGCTCTATGACTTGCATGCGCGCGGAAATGTGAAAGCTTGTTGCATAGTGTTCGTAAGTTCCGACTTTGACAAAATGACAGTGGCGAGACGTCACTGGATGCAGACCCTGAGGGAGCTGGTTGAAGAAATGAAAGAAGCCAACCTTGTGTTCCATTTTTATCAACTCAAGGAATACATCAAAAAGTGCGAAGAGTTTCATCATTCTGTAAACAAGTATTCCGAGAAACGAACGAAGCTAGAAAAGGATGGATATAGTGCCGACTATTATCACGACGAGGAGAACAAAACGAGAATAGCTCTAAGAAAATTGAGAATGGCAATTTACGAACAATACTTCTGTGGTTACCGTGATGATCAGTTCAAGGAGAAACCCAATAACACTAGCCTCGAAAAAGATTTACTTGAAAAACTACACAGTATGCATAAAGGTTGTCGGGCGGCTAGACGAGAGTTAGTCGGAAATGGCGAATCCGAATCCTCAACCGAAACCGAATGTCCTATGCAAAAGTGGCCCAACAGAGGCGACATTGACAAGGACATGGATAATTTCCGAATTCGAAACTTTGACAGTCTCCCGAAGTTCGATGTCCTCCTCGGCTGCAAGAGTTCCCACATTTTAAAGTCGGTAGCGCAACATGCAAAAATATTTGACACATGCTGTGAGATGTTTTACATTGATAATAACGACACCGAATTTGGTAAGTTCAAAGATCGAAAGCCGGAAAGACATGAAATGGGAAAAGCAAACATTGAACGGGAAGGATTCGCCTTCGGATCTGTTGTTTACTCATTGTTTGCGAACCACCTGGCGATGGTTAAACACGAGAAGCCGACCATAAGCCGAAGTCGGTTCAAATCTGTATGCAGCAGCAGTTTCAAAAGCGGTACAAATAGTTTGAAAGGAAGTTCTAGTGATTTGTTCACGGCTGGCACTAGTGGAAGCCATCTAACTGCTCTAGATTCGGACCAGGTTAATAACCAATCAACATCTGAGTTCAACTTAGCACTTAGTGGGACACCGGTTGAACCCACTCCTGAAGAAAATGGCCATGAAAACTATGTAGCATATCGACCACAAATAATTAACCAGAACTCAGTGGATCCGAAGCTTCTGCAGCTGCAGCCAAATTTACCTGCAGAAGTTTCCGAAATTGTAAACAATGACAACTTGAATTACAAACCTAAGAAAGGAAATCAAGCGAGCAGTGCTGAACGAAAACCAGAAACGAACCAGTCAAATATAAGGTCACTGAAGCCTTGTAACCACGTGTCACATGGTAAACGTCTTTGTCATACGGCCGGCAAAAAGCTTTCAAAGCTCAGCTTCTCTGACAAAGGATTCGCAGAGAAATTGCACAAACAACCTAGCGATCTGCGGGTGCTGGTATGCTGTGCATTAATCGGCCAGCCAGTTTGTCTGACTGAGGAAGAAGGCGGAGGAAACAATGAGATGTTGCCATCAGGTCAACTACAACAGCTGTTGGATTTCTTCGTCAGTTTTCTACCAAATGCAGCAGATAAAAACTTCTTCTGGCTCAACAAAAACGTTGACAAAGGTAGGAAAGCTGTTTACAATTTTTTCGTTGATAACTCTGGCAAAGGAAAGAATAGCTGAGGGTATAATGAAACTATTAGAAGCATTTTTCACTGCCCAAAGCTAGATCGAGTCTCGGACATTAAGCCCACAAAACTGCAATCCGAATAGCAAATATTGCAATTAACAATAGTAAAATTTTAGGTGAACTGACGGTTTTTACATTGTTTCAGCTAAACAAAATGAAACTTTTCTTATGAGGTATTGACTTCGTTATTGGTCCGACTTTTGAAGAAAGTGACGGTGGTCGGGGTGGTTTTTTCTCCAGACCAATTTTCACTTTTTAACTAGTAATTTTTGACGAGGTTTTTTTGTCCTTCGAAAAGTTCTGCTGCTTTCGTAATTATTTTGTGAAATAATGGGGGTTTAAAGACTACCAATTTGACCAATTAGGGACAATAATGAATGCTAATTCATTTTTCAAGCAAAAACCAAGTCTTCGGTCATACACCAAAGTTATACGGCAGTCAGTACAATCAGGTATTTGCGCTGATACAAGCAGTCTTGCTGAGAAGTTACGGAAGAATACTGACAGCGAAATAACAATTTGAAATGTCTTTTTTTTGGCGTAAAGTTTTTAAAAAGTACATGTCTCTTTGACAATCTACTCTCCTTAATTTTTTGGATTTTAGATTTTTCATAATTGGCTCAAAAAACTAGTTTACCAGATTTTCAGGTCAATCAAATTAATTCAAAAGGGAAGAAAAACTGTTTTTGATTCAACTTCTGCTAAACAAATTATTTATTTATTAAATCTATAAAATTTTCTTACAACTTTTGTCGGCTTCTTTCCATGCCTTGAACAAACTCAGTTCGACAAAAATGCGTTTGCTTTTCAAGATTTTATTTTTTTGCCTGAACAACCAAAACCAACAGACTGGCTCTTAATACTTTATCTTTGCGTGGTTTTATTGCTTTTTTCTCCCTTTTTTTCTCCCTTTTTTCATAGGGGTAAAACTTACGTTTTAAAAAACTGTGTAAATTGAATCGAAAATTGAAGTTTTTGCGTTCTTCCTAAAAATATTTATGCGAATTTTGTAGGTAAATAATTGAATTTTTTTGGTAGTTTTTCCAAATTGCTTGTTGACGTTTCAATTATAAATATCATAAAAACTAATTTTGGCAAACCGAAAACTTTTCTGAAAGCTCGAAAAAACTGCCAAACTGACTTAGAGGAAAATTCCCCCCTCAAAAGGCGGCTGCATCAAAAAAAAGATGCCACCAAAACAAAAACTGCCATCCAAACCACATAAGACAGTTTTATTCAATTTTTTTCAACAGATAGCAATCTTCACGTCCAATACTAAAATCTTGCCGTAAATTTTAGATCTGAGGATTCTTCAGCCCCGATATTTTGGTGTGAAGAAGCTGAAAGAGTAAGTAGTATCATTTTCAATTAATCATTTCTTCAATGTGAAAGAACGAATTATTTGGAGTAACGGCAATCAAAAACTCCGGAACAAAGCCAAATCAATGTAGTTAACCAGAATACGGTTCTTGTGCAAATAGTACATGGTTTTGCGACCACGCTCATAAAAAACTAAGAAAAAAATTTCTTTGAGCATGGCGTGATGAGAGATTTATACGAACGCGTAAAACTTTAAACAGCTAAGCATAAGTAACAATTGCCGATAAAAAGTTTAAAACGAAAAGGAGTCAGAAAATTTTTTCTGAACCTTTTTTATTTTTTGCAGAACATTTTTTTTGATTAAAAAAAAATTATTGTCAAGGAAACGCTAAGTGAAGCTAATGAAGAAAAATTGATTTGGAAATTTTACTCTAATCCGAGCGAATAGATCTTATGGAACGAGTTCCCAATTAGATGTACAAAATTTAAGTTCCATGGAACAGAACAAATTTTTGTACATTTTGAATCAAAAATGTTCTAATGAGACCTTTTTGCTTGAAATTAAACTAAGTTTTGCAAACTAGTTTTTTCTCGCCCCGCTACGATGATTGTTTGTGGTACCCGGTTTTGCTTGGAAAACAAAAAAAACGAAAGCACTCGCAACCGTGTCGTTATACTTCACAGGTTTCACTCTTATGCTGTTTTTATACTGAAGTCGGCTGATGTGTGATACTCAAGCGTCTAAGTACTGGACTAAACTATGCTCAAAGGAAAAAATATTAAAAAAATTTCTGCATCAAAATATTCCTTATTCCTTCGCTTCCAGACAACTTTTTTTGACTTTATATTTTTCATATCATCATAATTTCATGTTTCAGAGAAATTTTAGACAAGTAAGTTATAAATAATTGGTACTTAAAGTTTGTCTTCAGTCTCTCCCCGCCTTAAAAAGAGATTTTTTTCTGAAAAAAAAACTGAAAACAAGAGAGCGATTTGATTTCTTTTTGCTCATTGCACAACAACCGGCTAATTTTGATACAATTAGTTATGGTTTCGTCATTTTTTGTGGATGTTTAAGGAAAACAGTTCGAATTGCTTTACTTAGGAAAACAAAACTATGGTGGCAGCGTTCTGCGCTACTTGCCTATCCATTTAACTATTTTATTCTTTGCAAGTTTTTTTTGCCTCTCAGGTACCACCAAGAATGATCTTTAGGGATAAATAGAATTCTTGCTCTTTCAGCCCCAAAATCTATTTTTAAAAAGTTCAGAACATTTGCACGAAAATTCGGGGCAACCTGCCATAAAAAAAATAAAAAATTCGAATAAGGTCCATTTTCATTAAAAATTTGGTGAAAACAAAACAAACCGGTTGCTGTGCAAGTAGCAGAAATTGTTAATTGTTTCAACCACAATAAGTCATGAAAAAAAAACAGTCAAAAAGCTACTTCGAATACGGAGGAAAATTTCAAAATGTTGGAAGTAATACTAGCTAAAATGACGTGGAATTTGAATGGAGTTGGGAAGTCAATCAATGTTTTCCAAATTCAAAAAATTTCACTTAAATTATTCTGAAAATCGAAAATGTTCAGACCAATTTTTCTCGACACTGAGAAATTTTTGTTTCAAATTTTTTAATAATCTTAATCGCGATCAAAAATGTGATGCTAAACCTGACCATCAGGTAGTTCTTGCGGTTTTCTTGAAGTAGTAAAAAAAAGCTAAGAAAGACGGCCCGAATATAAAAATTCTGTGGTCGGAACAAAAAAAAACAATTTCATTTAAAAAATCATTATGATAGAGGTATCAACTCAGCTTGAAACAGTAAAAAACTAAATCCAACAAAAGCTAGAACACAAAAACATTCCGTATTACAAAAAATTGACCTAGTTGTTCTGATTATCTTTTTTCACTTTTTTGCTAAATCAGGGAAGTTTTTTTGCGAAAGAAACAATTTTTGGTTTTGTTTTACGGTTTGATTTTTTTTACGGTTTGGGCAAAATTGTTTGCCCTGTGTTTTTACTTCATGCCGGCGATTGGATTGCGGCTGCTCAGTGCTGGAATGAAAAGAGTGAAAAAAGATTACTGTTTCAAGAAAATTATTCCAATTTGTTTTTGCTCTCTGACACTTTTTTGTCCTATAAATTGTCCAGCCTAAATGTTTATGATTTATATATTTTTGGTTTGTGAGTAAACCGTGCCTTTATATTACTGGTTTGTGACTAAAAATTTATACTATTAACGCTCCCTCTGGAATGAAAATAGGATTATTAAAACATGGTAGTTTTGAAAGTTTATGATTCAAAATTTTTTTTGACTCCAACTTTAAAGCCGGCGGTTGAAGATCGGACGTGTTTTTTTTCGCATTGAACATTATTAGAGATGAAATATGAATTTTTTGTAATCATGTTTTCTTTCAAATTTTTAAACTTGTTGTTTTTGTTTTATTTTTTTTTCTTGCTAGCTAGCAATGATATATTTGTGGAGTTGTGCAAATGATGCGAGGTTCCCCTTCACTTCTGTATGATAGTGCTGATATTAAATTTTTAAACATTAATTCAGAATAATCATACAAAAAATAATAATTATTCTCATAATAATCATTTTAATAATCATAAGAAATCACAATAGTCATGGTAATAGTTGTAACAATAATAATAAAAAAGCAACAATAAATAATTTTTTGTTTTTGCGAATTTCAAAAGATCTAATAAAGGTTTTCCAGACTCTCTAATGATTTCTAACTTTTCCCCGTGTTACAGACTATGTTTTTTTCTTAAGCGAAGTTTTTTTTGCGCTCGTTGCCATTTTTGATGTCTTGATGTTTAACGTACCGAAATTACTCATGCTGGGGCTTAGCTTTTGACGTTTTTATCGGGCAACGTCTTAAATTTTTGAAACATTTCTGAATTCCAGACAGTGCAACAGAGTTGAAAGTACAACCTAATTTTCGCAATTGCATTTGAATTGTCAAATGAGCAAACCAAAAAGATTGCATTTTTTCAGAGGTCAAATTTTTTGAGTATAACTTCAAACTTCTAGCTGCAAAACATTCTTCATTTAGCACCGGTCTGACTATTTTAAGCAATTTTCAGATCGGAGGTCAGAATTTTTTCAGAAAAAATAGTACGTTGCCAATAAATTATTTAAAAACTTTTCAGTACTGGTTTAAATTATTCTGTCAAAACGAACAAAACAACCCAAAACAAGTTTTTCTCATGTAGGGCTAGATTAGATACAAAATGAAGAGAACAAAAATTTTGTTTTACATCTTAACCAGATTGATCATGATGTATTTTATTTTACAGCTTCGCAACCAAAATCTTAAGCAAAAAGTAGTATTCTTAACGGTTATTTTCTAGTTAGTTGATATACCGCTAAAACTACCAAGTTATTTCACGAAAAAGTCATATCAAAAGAAGCTTCTCACATACATAGCCCAACAAAATTTTAGAAAAAATAAAACTTCAAAGTTTCTAAGCAAATATTTCTTATGTAGTAAATTTCGAATTTTATGTAGTAAATTGACCCTTCTGAAATGTGAAGCAAAACTATAATCTCCTATACAAGTTATTGGAGATTTTTTTTCTAGAATTTTGCTGAATTACATGAGAAGCTTCTTTTGATATGATTTTTTCATCAAACAATTTGGAGTTTTAGCGAGAGTGTTGATGAACTAGAAAAAACCAAAGTTACCGAGATTTGGGGTAAAGTTTTTGATTGCCAAAATTGCTTATTTAATAAAACCACGACAATTCTGCTAAAAATCGTAACAACTTTTTCTCCTCTACTTTTCTCTTCTCTGAATCCAATTTGGGAAAAACACATTTTAAATTTCGATTGTTTTTCGTTCTGTCCGGTTAATTTAAAGTTACTGCCAAGTTTTTGGCAATATTTTATAAGGTCAACGATTCGGAGCAAAATTAAATAACCTAAAAACCGCATTTTGACGTCTGAAATTAGTTTCAATTTCACTTCATCCGTACAACCGCGTAAAGAATGAATAAAAAAAATCTAAATAACTTCGAACAACCGTTTTTTGACCGCTTAAGTTGCTCAAAGCCACCGACATTGTCAACTTTTTGTCATGCACAGTATATCGGCATTGTAAACATGAAGCTCGTCTTCGCACCCGTTCATTTCTACCGCAGGAAAGATCATAAACGAGCTGCGACTTCAAATTGAACAGTGAATCAATACCCGCACTCAGTAAAAAGAGAAAATAATCGATTATATTATAATTATAATTGTACTTTTAGCAAAACTATAATTAATTATGAGCGCCAGTTTTAGATATTTAAACAATTTAAAATGCATTAAACTGATATCATTTTTGGTGACATTTTTGTAAATTATAATCAATTATAATCGATTCGATTATAAGTTTTCCGAAAATCTCTTATAATAATTATAATAGATTATCATCCCTTTTTCTATCAAAAAATTATCTCACAAAAATATCAATTTTTATGGATTATAATTTAGCTATTCTCCATGAAAATACAGTAAAAATGAAAATTAAGGTAAGTTTAAGCTATAAGCAGGGCAGATCTGGGACTTTTTCGGGGAGAGGGGGCGGATTTTCAAAAAAATTTCGAAACCTGTTTCTTAGGTTGACCAAATTGATTTTGTGAGCAGTCGCAACTCACTATAAAGACCTCACTTTGATCAAATTTTTGGCGCCGCAGGCAAAATTATGAAAAAACAGGCCAAAGAGGCGTTTTTAGACAACTTTTGCAAAACTTTGATCAGAAAATCGCGTTTTTTTGGCGCACTCTCCCCCATGAAAAATAGTATACATTGGTGCCAAAGGCGCCTTTGGATAATTTTTAGACTCCGTCACCAAAAATGGATATCTCAAGGAGAGAACCCCCAGCCCCCACCCCTAAAACCGCCCCTGGCTATAATTACAAAATTACAGTTTCTTTTAGTTCGGTAACCAACTGAAAAGCACATAAAACAAAACAAAAATAAAACGAAATGAAGCAATGACAAAATTAAGGAATAATTAATGGATTATAATCCATTA